AGAAATTTTCTAAAAAACAATGTTCTGAATATCTTTTCCTTTGTTTGTTGCGTTCGAAGGAACATTAGGTTTTGGAAGTTGTTTAGGTTTAAAAACCGTGCCATCCAAGGTAGTAATAAACACATAAGAAGAAATTGTCCAAGGAGAGCTGGTTTTCTTAAATGATGTCTCAGGAGTAACATTTTTCAGACAACTATTGACAGATGTGTTCCGAACATCTGAACTAATAGGAGTAGATCGTCTCTTAAGGATCTTAACAGGCATGAATGTATTGTTATTCCTATACGTGGACTAACTGTTTGAGACACTTTCTTTTTGAATCTCTCAAGAAACCTAGAGCATTTCCTAGACCTAGTGTCTTCTTCAAGAGATTTCCTAGTTTCGGTCTTTGGGTGAACAATGTCTTTCTAGTTCAGCCAAGGTTTCTTCCGAGATTCAGATGATAACTTGGAAGTTTTTCCAATCGATGGATTGTTGAAACGAGGCTTAATAGGCACTAGAGTCGATTTTGAGACCACCTTATAATTGGAGATACAAGAGTCAGACGATATATCATCATCACTCTTAAGTTCTACATCACTATCAAGAGACGCCCAAAATGAATTGGATTGGTCTGATTCGTGTCCATTTGTCTCAGGAATGATTTCCTCAATAACACAAATGTTTGGAGGACTAGAGTTTGGAAAATGAACTTCAGCACGGCCTGTGTTAGGTAAGGATTCCAAATACTAATTCAGGTCCAAGGATATTAGAGGCGGAAGAGGCATTGAATCAGGACATTTAATAGTGATAAGTTTGACCTCAGGAATAAAAGATTTATATTTGTCTGGAGTCTCATGAAGGGACGAAAATGGTGAAACAATAGTATGCGAATAAGTATGGTTCGGAATGTCTCTCATGAACGTTAGGTTTTGAAGTTCCTTCAAAGGACGGGCAATGGGTTTCGGAAATTCGCTTCCAAGACCAGGTGCTTTGGATTGACGAAAATTATGTGTCATCCTTTCATTAGCTTCAAGAAGATCAATAGAATTATGCAAAGCATCAATTTTAGCATTAAGACGTTTATATCAGTAACTAAGATGTTTCTTTCACTAAAAGTAATTTCACATTTGTCTTTCAAAATAATACATTAATCCTTAGCCATTACAAGTTCTCTCTCTAATAATTCATTCTTAAGCTTGCGGTCTTCAAAACGTAATCTAAGACGTGTCAACTCACTATCCAACTTTTCATTAACTTCTATGGAAGACTCATAGGCTCTATGAATAACTATCATATCTGATTGAATTTGAGTTAGATAAGGTTCACAAACAGTGATCATGGATTTTACCTGCTGGATGATGCTTCGGCCAGGTGGATCGTTTGTTGCCTGTAGCAGTAGTTTGGCTCATCATCGTCATCATCACCTTCCAAACCAGAAGACCAATAACCTTCATCACATTCAATTTACTATCTAGCCACTAGACTCAAATTCCTTGCAAATTTTTCTTCACCCTCATCACCGTACAACCAATACCCATCAACATTCCTTGAAACTGTGGTAACAAAAGCCTTTTCACTTTCAGCGAGTTCTTGTGCTCTACGAGCATAGTAGACAGAAACTTTTACCTTTGGTTTTTGAGGAGTTTCAGCCAAACAGTCCTTTGCAAAGTGCTTTCCGAGACCACATTTGTAACATATAATCTTGGGTTTAACTGGTTTTGGAACTTCCTGAGGTTCTGAGGTGTGATTTGGAATGTTGGGTTGATATGTCAGTGGATTTTCATTAGGTTTAGGGTAGGGTTGAGGATTGATTTAGTGAGGAGCTTGAAATCGGTTCTGAAGTGGTTTTTGATTGGGGTTCCAAGGACGTCTATACTTCACAGATAGAAGTGCAAACTCTGGTTGGAAACGAAGTTCGGAATCACCAGCTTCTAGATCAAGTTCTACATCATATGGGTAGTTCGGAATCGGAGAAACATGTACGATAAGTTGAGTGGGTCGTGTAGGTTGAACATGTGGGATGGCTCCAAATGGATCCAAAACAGATGGGTTCGAAATCAGTTGATTGACAGAGCTTACTAAATTGATAGGACCTCCTGAGACTTCTCTCGACGTTTGAGCAACATTGGATTCATTACCTTGCAATTCATCAAAAAACTGATAGAGCTTCATTTTCTTCATAGATCCATTACTCTGAAGACAGGACTTAAGATTTCCCCATCCTTTTCCAAGGTTGTTGATGAACTTGAGATTGTACTCGAGTAGAGTTCGTACTACACCATGTGATGTCATGTTGTTCACAACGATCCTGTATCTATTTGATGCAAAGGCTACCGATTCATCAGGAGTTGTAGTGAAGGTGTCAAATTCATTTACAACTGATGTCAAACGCTTATCCTTCATGTTCTCAGACACTCGCAAACAAGTCTTGAAGTGTATCCCAAATCTCTTTGGCATATTTGCATACTTTTATGTGCTCAAAGAGAGAAGGAGGAACACCAAAAACCATTTTTGATAAAGCAATCTGATCTGCATGAAGCTTCTCAATGTCAGATGCAGTTAGTGGCGCGGGATGGAGCTCTTCTTGACCCATGAATGTAGCAGCAACATCTCTAACCATTTGTCTTATGGGAACATGAGGACCTTCTTTCGCTGATATCCACATCTCTTTACCTTTTTCTTTACCAAGCAGAAATCTAACCATTCTAACTTTCTAGTGATCATACTCTTCAACAACTAGCAATGGGGCATGCATTGGGAAACCCACGCTATTTGATATTTGCATTGAATATATTTGTTGAGATTGATTAGAATCAGCCATTGAAGTTAAGATAATAGAGCTGAAGTGGTAAATAGAAGAACGTTTATCTTGAACACAAAAATGATTGAGATACCAAGGTAAACTTCAATCAACTATAATTTGTTCTTATGGATTCAAAGGACAACCACTTAGGCTCTGATACCAATTGTGAGAACAAAAAGATCTACGTGGACAAGGTTTGAGAACTCAAACCTTGAATTAACTTAAGATCAATGTCGGTTGCTAATGAAGATCCAATCAAGTTTGGTAACCAGTCTTGTCTCGAAATTAAGATATTCAACAAAGTACTCAAGATATGAATGATTAATAGGTATGAATAATGTAAAGTGATTTAAGAACAATAAGAATGTAAAAAAGAATGATAGACTGAATGATTCTTGGTATTGATGAGAAAGGTGAATGTTTTTCACTCATGCATACATAGAATGAAGTTTACAACTCCTTAAATAGACATGGAGTGATAAAAAGACAAATATCATAAAGTGCATGGACTAGAAGACATCTGCAGATCAACAGACTGATGCAGCCACTTCTGTTGATCTTGTCCTATTTATTGTACTTTAAAACAATAACTACAAAACAAAATGGTACTAGGAACATTTAATGCACATTACAGACTCAAAATAACAAGAAACAAAAGATGCATCTTTGATTGATCTTCACTTCGGAATCAGCTCCACTTCGGAAGACGTCTCACTTCGAAATTCTCTATCTCAGATTACTAAAGGATCACCTTTTCATGTATCAATAATTTCAATCCTCGAAGTTTCTTCATGGCTACATCATCGACAATACGGGGACATAATTGCTTCTTGAACTCCTCCCAAGTGTTTATGGTGTAAATACTTTTTTCTATATCGTGCAGACGACATGTCGTCGATATAGGGGGTACATGTCCCAATGACATCTATCCCAATGGCTTTTTCCACTTCCAACGATGAGGTTATGCCGACGATATTTTACCGACGACTTGTCGTCGGCATAGGGTTAAAAGAAGTCCTGGCCATAAGGGTCTATTCTTGTAATGATATAGTTTCATGTATAGATTGGTTTAAGTATAAAATCATATATATATATATATATATATATATATATATATATATATATATATATATATATATATATA